GTATCTTAAACCCCAAAAAATCAATAACCCCCCCCTATTCTGTAGTAATATACTTCGCAGCGTCCGTTACTCCCACCAAAGACGGTCTTTACTCACACGATGCCGCATTTTTTTATGACGCGAATGCGCGCAGGTTCAGTGACCGGTCACGATGGGGAGCCAGACAATCTAAAAATCAGACGCTTGTATTTTCTTTTCTTTTTTTTTCTTTCCACAAGTGACAGCCAAAGCGACGGGTCCCAGTGTTTATTACATTTTATTTGCACGGCGACATTGCGTTTATACTGCACAACCTGCATGCCACAAATGTTGCGTTATCAGACAACTGCTGGCAAACTTCTTGGTGGTAGTGAAAGCGAAAGTAGATCTTGATTTTCCCGATCGAGCTCTCGGTGTCACATACGCTTCCGCATTCCGCCATAGCTGCCTATATGCTTGAAAGTGAAATGTACTCCCCGGACGGGGAAAAGTTGAAGGAATATAATATCACGCACGATGGCGACCGGCAAAAATGAACTTACTGACCTTATCGGACTTGGTTTTCAAATATTCCAGTTCTGCGATACTGAGACTATTTTGACAAAAGATGGGACTTGAGATAATTAGGTTTACTCGCCCAAGCTGAATCTCGTATTTTTCGCATTCCAGGATGCGTATTATTTCATGAAAAGTCATATTCGCGTATTTCCAGCAAAAAAATCGTACTGGTTGGCATCTCTGCCCTATCCTTTCCCGACTTACCGATCCATCACAAAATTCCCGACTTTTTCGCGACCTATCTCAAAATTCCCGACTTTTTCCCGACCTATCTAAAAATTCCCGACCTTTTCCCGATTTCCCGACCTGGTGGGGACCCTGCACACAGTAAATGAATGCTATCAAGTTGATGTGTTTCTCTTTTATCACACTAGAACTTTGAGCCCCTTTGAGTTTGAGTAAAGAGAAGCACACTAACACAGTAATGGGGGCATATGGTGCAGGGAAGAAGCAAGACAGATAGACAGAAAAGAAGCAGGACCTACCAGCAGCATTCTCCAACCGCCTGCCTTAAGCCCTTGAAATCAAAACTCGAACAAAAGTACACCATAGTCACAGGCAAAGATTCAACAATAACAATTGAACTCAGGTGAATTAAGACTAAACACCAAGCCTTACCAGAACTCTGACAAAGTAGAGGTACTCAGCAGTTGCCGAGTAGTTGCCACACTCGTACTGGAACTTGGCGTAGTCGTACAGAGTGTTGATCATCTCGTGTTTGAACTGGGAGAGAAAGAAAGAAATAACAGTATAAATTTCAGTTTCAGGACTTAGTTCTTTACTTTGTGTTCAGTAAACATTGAAACATTAAATGGTAGAGTGGCAAAAGTGAAAAAGCTCACACCTAAAATAAATTGTGTGGGTGACTTCAGTACTGCATTTACATCATTCACTAATTTCTAGCAGCACACAGACCAAAATCAAATCCCTTCAAATAATTCAACAATATTAAAGCTGAAACATAGCCAACAGTTGCCCCTTTTCTTCTTATGGAGAGAGAGATGCGAGGGCGGGGGCTCGGCTTTAGGATATATAATGTATACAAGGGTGTTTATCAGGTGCAATTTGAATTCACGATTTCTAAATTCATTCACAAATTGTTAAAAGGGGAACTGCTGCATTTTAACACATGATATTGGGCGACCAATACTGCAAATTCAAACTGCTTGCGAAAAACCAAATGGGCACAGCATGGGGAAAAAACCCTGAAGTACAGTATGTCATTGTTCGCTGCAAACAGAAAGGGTCAGCACATTGTAACTGTAAAACTCTGTAAAACAAGTAGTAAGTCATACCTCTAAAGTCACGTGGGGCAGGTGCAATGATTGGCAACCTACATTTATTGAAAATATGAAACAAGCTCAGAGATCAAAATAACAAATCTACGACAAACAGAAGAAATACTTACCCCATACTCCTTAGACAGTAAGTCATACAGCTGACGTCCATCTCTGAAATTAAAGCCAAAGAAGATGATTAAAAATAAATCTCGTACATCTATCATCTATACAGAGATTTTTTTCTTCTCTGTGTCTCAAAATCACAATATACGGGTAGCACACAAGCTATTTTCAGAACAAAGGAACAGAAGGAGTGTCTTTTTCCTTGTTCACAAAAAATTAAAAACACATAAGAAATGGAGTATCTGAATGAAATTTGCTAAACTCTACAACTTTACAAACAAATGCCAATGATTTGGTTTATATCACAAAGAAAATCTTTAACAAGGCTTGGTTGTGAGTACCAAACAATGGTGTTTAAAACGTTGAGCACATGTTGCAACGGATCTTCTCAACTTGATATTCAGAAAAAGAAACCTACTTCTACAGAAGATTGTATGCTAAATAGATAAAGTCAGAAAAGCACACAAACTTTGCTGTCAGAAAATTTGTGCTATTACGGCATTTTTTAGCTGTCTTCTTCAGAATTACGAGGTACAAAATGTAATTTCCTGGAGCAGAGAGATAGAAACAGCATTTGTGTTTACCTTGAAGACTGAATCTGACGCTGTACCTCAGGGGAGTCAAAGATCTCTGTGATGATGTTTGTCTTTGACTGGAGGTCCTTCAGCTGTGACACAACATCCTGACGTTTATCCTTCAGGGCTGAAAACACAAAATTTCAAGAAAAGATTAATAAATTTCAGTTATCTGTCTGTAAAACTAGGAGTAGCCTATGCACCTGAAAAAGACTGGAGGAGTAGACTGGCAAATAAGTACTTCATTATTTATATAATTAATTGTACTTTGTAACACTCCTATCCACACAGTTCAGATCAATATAGTAGCCAGGTGGCTTTGACCCTGCATGTCGTCAAAGGCAACCCAGCTGAGAGGGATACAATGTCCCAGGAGAAAGAAGATTTATTTTTTTGTAAACCCTCAGGGGAATCAAACTCAGTGTTCTGTCTGCGATGGAGAAGAGTCAATCAGTCATCAGAACATAAGCTATGTAATGTTCTATTTACACAATTCAGACCAGGCCAAGCTTAGTCTTTTATTTTATAAGCTTGATTGTGTATGGGTTGATGTTGGATGAAAAATAAAAAAGCATTGAATTAGTCTTTCGAAGTAGCTATTCGGACTCAAGTCCGAACAGCTGCTGGAGGCTATTCAGACTCAAATTCCAGTGCGCATGCACAATCACCGGCTGTACCGTAAGCGAGGTCTATACTCGAGTCCGAAGTCTCCCGTAGCTATTCGGACTTTAAACTACTGGTAAGCTATTACACTGCATTTCAAAACTACAAAGGGATCAAAACATAAAATTCATAATCAATCCTTATAAGACAGCCCTTCCCCTTTCCCTCTCACTCTCTAGCTCCACTTTACTTCCCCAGGCCCGCCCCACCACCTTCATCCCTTTTTTTTGTTGCATATATAGATCTATATTCCCTCCCATACCGTAGCCCGCTGCCCAGCCCTATTATTATATTATCCTTTGTAAAGAAAAGACCACAGTTCGCGCTGGGTCACCACGGTCAGCGCCCATTTGTTGTGAGTTCCTTGGCCAGATCGTAGAAACTGAGGAAGGCCAAGGTCGAACTGCTTGTCTGCTTCACACCCGGTGACCTAGTGACTGCGCACGCGCATTGGAGTTTGAGTCCGAATAGCCACGGAAGGCTATTCGGACTCGAATCCAGACTCGAGAGTCTGAATAGCCGCAGCCTTAGTCTTTTATTCCTCTGCTATATAAGCTTGAGTTCAAGTACAAGTAAGTCAATAATTTAATGGACGAAAAAAAAAAGGACGGAATTATATTATTTTTAACAATAATTCATGAGAGTCAGACACAGCACATTCTGAATTCTGAGCCACAGGTAATTTTTTCTTGAAGTGGCCAGACTACAGACTAAACAGCATGAGCAAAACCAGAACTTACTAGTGGGAACTGACTGGTCAGGGTACAGGTTACGGTGAACATCCATGGCAAAATCCACCATGTTTGTGTTGCTGAGTAAATCCAGCTTGCCCAACAACATCTCTTTTTCTTCATAGAGCTGAGAACAATAAAACGCATACAATCAATTTAGGACCATTAGCCTAGTGTAGTAAGATAGATTTTTAAAATGATATAAAAACCAAAAAATATTTCAAAAGCATATAGGTCTAATTTAAGAAGGATATAAATCTAGATATCTAGTCAAAATTTGTGTAATAAAGATAAACATGAAGAAGGAAAGTGCTTTGAAATCAGAGCATGAGAAAGAGGCAAAAGGAAAATAATACCAAATTTACCCCCCTTTTTTTACATGTAAGGAAGTGGCTATCATCACCCTGGGTGAGAATAAAAATAGGATCGACCTCACACACCGGGTGAGACTTGCCACCGTTGGCTATTCTCACCCGGTGTGAAACAAGACCTGTTTTTCCTAATTTCGGAATACTTTCTATCGGTGAGTACGATCAAATGGATAAAAGCAAAGAAAAAATTACGTTACAGCACAAAAGTAAACTAATTTGATTGTCTACAAAGACACTATGGCTATTTCACTTTTCGAATCGAGCTAAACTACACAGGTCGCCATTTTGTTTGGCCCGAAAGTTCTCGCAAGATCTACTCCTCTCCTCTTCTCTCTCTCTGTCTCTTTCTGAATACTGTCTGTCGGTGTGGACGATCAAATTGACCAAAACAAAGTTAAAAAATGATGTTAACACAAAAGTAAATTAATTTGGTTGTCTACAAAGATGCTACGGCTATTTAACTTTTGGAATCGAGCCGAACTACGCGGGTCGGCATTTCGTTTTGTCCGGAAGTTCTTGCGCTACTCCTCTCTCTCTCCACTGCCCACAGACAAAATTGTACGCTTTTAGGCTAACAACAGTAGTAGCCTAATAATGGAACGTTTGTTCATGGCACAGAATTCTACAATTTTTCTGTTAAAGAATACTGATGTTCAGGGTGAACGCAAAATTGGTTGGCCTAGATCTAGGCTATAGCGGCGAACGCACACCGGGTGAGAATAGCCAAAAGACTCACCTGCACTATTCTCACCCGTGGTGAGAATAGAGGTGGCCTTGTGTTTCTGATTGTGTAAGCAGGCCTAGATCTAGATAATCTAGATCTAGATCTAGATATATATATTAGATCAAGATCTACATGTATAAATTTCTATGGAGTTAGGCTGGGATAACCTCCCAAAGAGAACCCAATCCCTATTAGACTAGATCTATTTACCAATACTAAACTTACCATTACCTGCTGACCCAGCCTGGAAAAGGGAAATTAGGAAGGACTTCCATAACGAGCGATCCCCCAAACAAAAATACAATAGAGGAGAGACTTAACCCTAACCCTGACCCAACCTTACCCCTATCCCCACCGCAAACCCACCTTAACTCCTAACCTCACCCTCTATTCAATTCTAGATCTGATCTACACTCTGACTTTCAATTTCATAGTGGCTGCTGGAATTCCTCACCCCAAAAGTAGATCTATGACATAACTGTCTATGAAGCCATTGAAGCAGGCCAATAATAGGTTAATAGGCTAATAATTTTAATAAAACAGAAATTAGGCTTCCTAATTATCCTAATACTAATCAATCTATATATTCTAGATCTAGATTCTATAAAACGAGATGATTCTTTTTAATCTGTAAAACTGTTGTTTCATGGGGCCATGAGAACACAACAATCCAAAGTAGACCTACGCCAGGCTACGCAGCTGTTCCTTGCCCGAACTCTTCTCTGCGTTTTGCAAGGAATGAACATGGCGAACAGCCGCCGGGCCGGTACACTCTGACTCTGATCATTAGATCGGGGAGAAACTTATGGGCTAAGCCAAGTGAAAGTGATCACTCGTAACACAATTACTTTGGTTAGAATACTTTCTTACCCCTTTTACAGTTAAAAACTCGAGCAATGGAAAGACCAGATGTCGATCCAAGTACTGGCCGAGCGTGGTCGTCAGATCGAACTTCGCCATCTTGACTGAAAGGAGGAAGTGTCCACAATTTCTGCTGTTTTCCGCGCGGCATACTTGCCAAGTTGGCAAACATTTTGAAGATATTTAACTTTTTGGCTCATAGTTTACACACAATCCATTTATTATTTATTTTTATAGATTCCATCTTTTTGTTTATACTCAAGTATTCATAAATCATTAGTTATGTAGCCTATTTATATCTGTGTTTGAAAATTAAGCTAAAGTTAAATACATGATCAATATGAGATGAACTTTTGAACAAGCTGTTCTCAAAGATGGAAAAAAAGTTTCAGTTGCGAAATTTAAGTGTCGCAAAGGAGAGGGGGGTGTGTCAATGTTGTTTTGTTTGGCCTTAATATTCATTTGCCAAAGACGTTATAAATACATGTACAATGTCGTACTATTTAGGCCGTATAACCTCTTTGTCAGGAGTTCACATGTAGGGGTAGGGGTAGGGGTGGG